TTTTTCACATGACTTTAAACCTCTGCCGCGGGAAAAGTACTCATCGCAGACATGTAAAATTTGGATATATGATAGATATGATGTTTCTGAAGAATTATGATAATTTTTTATGAAAAATAATCTCCTTAAGGTTCCGGGTCGGAGTTTAATTCTGACCAGGGTTCCAAATAGTGCGCAGTAAATCGCCGGATCTGCGAGGTTGTCACGCTAGGTTTGGCTCCCCATAGCTCGGCGATCGCTGTAGATTTTCAACTAGGTTTTGAATTGATCAAAAAGCCTTGGGATTGTAGTGTTTTTCGGCGCGGTGAAGTTGGACGGCCAGCGAAGCGTTTTTGGTATTAGTCCGCGAGCAGGGTGATGCGGTTTGTCGCCTGATGACCCAAATAGCTGCGTTCTATGTGGAATTTCTAGGGGTTCGCGTCACCGGATTTTGCGAAAAACTTATCGCAACAACCTATATTTTTTTCTGTTTTTCAGAAACAGGAAGTAGTAAGCTATTTCAGCATATAAGCCGTTAGCCTGGGAAAATTCGTTTTTTCCAAGCAGGTCCGTTGAAAAAACTGCAAAAAAACTACATTTTTCGTATCCAAAATTTACGTTTAACTACAGTTTGTACCCAAATTATAGAGTCGACGGACAATAACCAAAATTGTATCGGAAGCCGGCTGGAAACCTCAGTTGACTGATGTAATGAGATTTCCCGGCGTACTTTTTTTGGCGGAGTTATAGCCCTTCGGTCTGAGGGTGTCCGCCGGATCCAAAATCGTGAAAAAAACTCCGGTCCGAGACCTTAATAGAGATTCTGAAAACTTATGTGGGGGAATGAAAGGGCATTGCTAGTTCCTGTGGATGGTTGGCAAAACCTTCTTATTTTGTGTAGCACATACGTCTGGCTATTCAGGGCAGATTGTTCAAACTCTGGAACAATTGAGTTAAATACATAAGTCACAGAGGCGAGACAACACTCCTGAGCACAGGTCCAGGTGTGTTCTGTCAGATGGTGTTTACATAAAATATAGCAGATAGACCAATGCCTTCTCCACTGTGTTTGCCTATTCACCAAATAACTTTTTCTCCATTTTACAATACTGACTGCTGCTTAAGTGACCACTTCTCTCCTGGAAGAGTAGTGGTCACTTAAGCAGACAAAGGTGAGACAAAAAGATTAACACCAATTTCAACTAACTTCACCCACGCTAGTTTGTAACCTTTCTATCCTTATTTCCAGACGTTGAGAAACCGGCAGATGCTGAGTCTGGCTTCGGAGACATGGAGTCTGACACCCCCGAGGCCAACCCCAAAGTGGACCTGTCCCCCGACGGGAAGTGCACGTGTTGTCCGTACGGGTACCACATCGACCTGGACTTCCTCAAGTACTGCGACGACATCTCCAAGGGCAGCAACATCCCCAAGATCGTGAGGCCCAGGAAACCCAAATCACCTGGAGGCCCGGCTCCCATGGACTTCCGTGCTAACACCTTGCCACGAGGCTTTTATCTGAACTCACAGCAAAGTAATCTACCGAAACATGCGTCCGTAGTGCCTTCCTCGCCCATTTCTCCCCTCTCCGTCAACACTTCCTTGTCATCAGCGAACAATTCCATACCCGAAACAACAACGACAACAGCAACAACTACCAAACAAACGGTTACAGATCCACGGGAAAATGCCAGTTCTGTGTACGGCTATAACTCATCAACTCGTAGACCGTCTTTGCCAGGCGACCTGCCCATACCTTTTACCTCACCAAACTCGAACAGCGTGTTCACCATGCCCGCCGCGTTGGCGACTCAGAGCAACAGCGGTTCGTCTAGTTCTCTGTCGTCCCAGCTGTCCACGCAGTCCAGTTCAGGCCAGTTTTCTCCACACAGTGAAATGTCCGGGGATACGAAGCACAGCATGGGAGTACAGACGCCGGCCTCGCTCCTCTCCCCGGGTAGTTCTTCGCGTGGGTCGGGGGCGTCGACTCCCCAGCCGCCAGCAGTCAGCTCCGCCATGCTGCAGGGCATCCGGGAACAAATCGCCGCCAGCCTGAAGAGAATAAAGGTCCTGGAGGAGCAGGTGAAGGAAATCCCCGTCTTACAGGTCAAGATTTCCGTTCTGAAGGAGGAGAAGCGCCTGCTCGTGATGCAACTCAAGTCGAAAAATGGCGAGCAAAATCTCAAACCTGAAGACACCGACAACAAACGGGAGAAGCAGGATGGCGACAAGGACGGTACGAAGAGATTGCATCGAAGATCGTTGAGCACTGGATCGTTTCAGATGTTGGAGCAGCAGTGGAAGGAGCAACAGGCAGAGCAGGAAAAGCAGAAGGCCTCCAAAGATGCGCCAGCACCTTCTGAAAAGAACAGTACAGCCAAGAAGCCCAAGGTGCCTCCCCCAGTGCCCCCTCGGAGCTTCCGATCCGTCTCAGTCGGTGACACAACCAGTCTTTCAGATATCGTTTGCTACAATAGTGCCTTGCGGACAACCACAGACGTAGGCACCAACACCACGGTACCATCACGCGACATAGGAGTCGGTTATTCCCCAAGGATGCGCCACGTCGGGGTGGGAATATCCAACGACTTGCTTCAACAGGAACTAGGAATCGTAGAAAACCAGAAGTGCAATACAGCAGTTGTGGAGACGTCGGAAGTTGGTGTGGGGGTTTCGGTCGAGCAGAGGGCGGTTGCCGTCGGCAACCACACAGAATTGCGGGACGTTGGCATGACAACAGACCCTGAGGTGGTTAAGAAGCAGAAAACCAAACACGCCACCCGAAGCATTGGGGTGATTGTAGATATACCAGAAACAAAAGACGTTCGAACAGTTGGTGTAGGCAATGGCTCTGTTTCTGAACATCAGAAGCCCCCGGTAGAGACTGTGTCTGTTTACACAAACACACCCGTCATCAATACCATTGATAAAGTTACCAATACTGTAGCGGTGAATCTGAAAACGGTGGCAGTTGGGAATTTTTCAGTGAAGGATGTTCTGTGCGACCGCTGTGCCGATGTGAAGACGAAGACTGTTGCGGTGGGAGTGTGTAGTATAAAGGACACAATATGTGATCGTTGCAATAACATGGAGAGTAAAACGGTGGGTGTCGGGCGCTGTACCGTTAACGACACCGTCTGTGACAAGTGTAGCAACCTCAAAACTAGGAGTATCGGCTGCACGACCTTGGCAAACTGGAACCAGAAGTCTGTCTCTGTTCTCGCCAAGGTCGAGCAGACCGACGCCGGCACAGGAGACGATTCTGTTCTGGAGGAAACGGTGGACTCAGGAAAGGACCAAACGGAGACGAAGGACATCGGAGTTGGAGAAGACTCTATATTCCCCTTGGAGGAGGCGAAACCCCCAGTCCTAATACAGGAAGAGAAAACGGTGAACGTTGTTTCCTTTGCAACTGCAGCTCGCCCGCCGCTGGAGATCGTAGAGAGCTCCAGTAGCGACGAAGTAGAGGATGAAGATGATATGATCCCTCCTCTCCAACAGGCGAGCATCATCAAGACAACAGAACCTCAGGTGGCAGAAGTACAGCCTGTACGCCACATCGTCAGGGAAACGGTTGTCAGGGAGACGGTCGTCACGGTTACGCCTCAGGATGGTTACGAGGAGCTGGATGGTGAAGTGAAGCATAAAGAGGAGGAAGAGAAGGAGTCTTTAGAGGCTGTGGATGGATTTGAGAACAAACATGCTCTGTCACCTGGTAAGTGGGGAATGTTGTTTTTGTTTGTCTTCCTTTAACAAGTGGGGTGTTGAGGTGAAGCGTGATGCTGTTTGTAGTAGCTATACTTGTACAATGTGGCTTCGCTATAGTCACATATAAATTACTGTGTGGCTTATATGAGATAGGGGTTTGCCAGGCCTCCATCTGGATGATATGTAGTTATTAGATTGAATATACTCGTATTACATCAAGAGTTACAGATCTCTTGCATCGTTGTTTTGTATCGAATACGAATATAACTAAAAAAGAAGGAAAAGAATATGGCGTTCATTTGGTATGCTCTTTTCCATGTGATTTATATACAAATTGAATTTAGTCCAAGGTTCATTTTTTTCCCTTTTCCCACCCTGAAGGCTCGAGCCCTGCCATCTCCAACTTGCGGCCGTTACGGTCGTGCTTGAAGGGAAAACACTCCACCAAGAAAGTAAACATCAAGAAAGAGATCCAGTTTGTGGGCGTTAACGGCAATGGGTGAGGATGAACTAGTTTTTGCAGGCCACACAGTCTTTAGAATGATATATGTTAATATGTATATGCATACACATTTGATTTGACTATTCCTTCCATGCCAAAAACACACAAAGTTTTGAACTTGAAACTTGACACTTGAACTTTGAAAGTTTTGTATTCAAGTAACAATTTACTGCAAAACAAGAACTTCTTGAGCTCTAAAGGCATCCAATGCGATTTCAAAAATGTGCTCGGAAATGGCAGTAAATGTCAATATATACAAATTTCTTCAGTAAGAATGTTTTTTCGCAGCCCTGAAATTGCATTAGTGAATTTACTGACAAATGAAAAAGTTGCTTTAGAAATAAAAGACCGATCCTGAAGCCCAACCCACCTCCGTCAAAACGTAGAAATGCAAATATTTGACGGATATGCAGACGCTCTCTCATTGGTTGAACTTCTAATTGTGATGGACGTTTGGGATCGGTCTATTGTCAGGAATACTAGTGTACATACAAGAGGGCTTCTTATGACCATGAACAGAATAGACAAAGTTTGTATTTTTTTGTAGCCATGATGAGAGTAGCAGCGATGACTCTAGCTCAGAGGAGAGCTCGGAAGATGAAACAGACGACGAAGACAGCAGCAGCTCCGAATCAGAGTCTTCAGACGAGGGGGGCTACAACTGCGAACTGGGCAAAGTCATCAAGAAGGGCAAGGAAGACCAAGGCAAGAAGGACGTCAAGACGATATCATCCTCGGAAATCATCTGTGAAGACATCAAAGAAACGTGAGTAACACTGCACAGTTGGAATGGCCATTGAATTGAAAAGATCTCTTTTTCTAAACGTTGTCAAAGACACTAACACAATTTTTGTATGTAAAACATTTAATACCTTGCTAGTGGCACTAACAAAACATTCTTTACTACTACTACTTCTTGCCTGGAAGTACTTGTGTGGCCATGCTTTAGGCAGGTAAGTAGGAGCTACAATGTGGTACAATGACATGTAAGTACATGTAACCAAAACTAACTTTCCTGCTACAGAAGTCTAACCATGCTTTTCCTGCTAACTGCTTGAGTTTAAAAGCTTTTCTGGTTGTAAAGTTGAGACAGTGGTGTTTTCATCCTTCTTTGTGTGGAGTGATTTGGGTTTGTTCTTTCATAGTGATCGGCTGGTGAGCAGGGAACTCAAGGAAACGTAAGTTGTGGTGGCGGCCTTTCTTCTTCCTATGTTCTCCATGCAGTCTCTATAGAGAGTTCAGTTCTGGTTTCAGTTGCTAACTGTTCACTTGTTGCCAAAGAAAATGATATTCTTAAGTATGAAGTGATAGAAATGTACCTCATGCTTGATGTTGGAATTTTGATTTTGGAAATAACTCGGCAGATTTTAAGTTACCAGAATTTGGTGTTGCATTGTAGTATCTTTTTGCTGATATCGTATATCCTTGTTCTGGTGTAACAGTCCTTTTGCTGTTTCTGTTTTGGTTCATTCTTTCTGTGTCACATTGTCATCTAGTCCTGGTGCCAATGCTACATGTATGTCCTGTCTTTGTGCTGATTTTACTTGTCCCTGTGCTGACTCTGTCCTCTGTTCTGCAGACATGAGTTGAGTGAGGAACTACAAGAAGCCTGTGGAGTGCTGGAGAAGCATGTCACCACGCCCAAGTCTGTGCCTCCGAGAGAACTGGTAAGCACAAACCCTTTCATCCGGAGGTATTGTTTTGGTTGTGTTCGTGTGTGTGTGTGAAGGTCCCAGAAGCTGCTGAAAGTTGTCTAGGAGTCTGTTGGCCAGGCTCAGAGGGAAAATGCTTAGATGAACAGAGAAGTCCACAATAATGAATAAAACAAGATATTCTTAATGTAGTTTCTTACCTGGTAACTAAGTGAGGATTGGTTGGGCTACTGAATCACACCCAACACAGCCCACCTTCAGAGCCCAGTAACCTTAACCTTGTCAAATATTCTTTTAAAAATCTGGCAAACAGTACTGCAAAAACATTGTTTCGGGCAAAATGATGTTTGGAGAATGATTTAGTGGAAGAATTTTTATAGTCACCATAACTGGAAGGCACATGCACAAACGTCCTGGTCGTTGCCAAAACAATGCCATCTGGAAAAATGTACAGTGGATGTGTTGTGTTTGGGGAAAAATGTCCAGGCCTGGAGAATGATGCAGTTCTAAATGTTGAAAGTGAAAAGCCTGGTTGAAGCCATCATTTGAGCTGAATAAACCATGTTGTGTTTTACTTATGTCATACCTACCCTAAAAAAATGCACAGAAATTTAAAATATTTGTTGTTGCAACATCAATTCCATACTTCAAATCCAGGAATTTGAATGTTAGAAAGAGACGCACAGTAAACACGTTCAAATGATTCTACAGAACCTTTGGAAGCTTATGTGATAACCGTTAGAACCCAGTGTGAACAGCAAGTTACTAGTATTACACAGGCTTGAAACACCCATATGATGCTGTAGTGAACGTTACTGTGGCCCAGGTATGACATAAATTCCAGTAATGACCATGTCCTTTCCTTCACCCCCATGAGTTTGACCCTGTTTGTTGTATGTTGTAGATGATGGCCATGAACACGATCCAGCACGAGTGGATGAAGGCCGGCGCTCAGAAGACGTCGGACGTCCAAGTGGTGCGGGATTACCTCGCCGCGTTCGAGCAGATGGCGACTGGAGTCCTCGGCAAGATAGTCAACCTAGCGGATGGAAATGTATGTGTACTCACTCACTCACTCACTCACTCACTCACTGCTGTGTACTGGATCACTATATAGCCGGCATAATCGCCCTTCAGTGTAATGCACCAGCACCACTTTTTGTACAACTTTTGTTATGTGACACAAGATTATATTTAAAACTATTCACTGCAAATTATTATTTGTAGTCATCTACATGTACATTTGTATTTCTGTACTTCCCAATGCAATATCCTTTTTCTGTGCAGCAGCCTTTTTCTATGTTCATACAAGCTAGAATTGTTCTAAGGAAGGTTTGTCTGACCCATGTACCATGTTTGTGTGTCCCCCCAGGGTAACACAGCCCTGCACTACTCCGTGTCACACTCCAACTTCGACATTGTTGAGATTCTCTTGGAGACTGGCCAGTGTGAGGTCAACAAACAGAACAAGGTAAGTCGTTATATACTGTGAACCATGAACAAATAATTTGGCTGCTTTCTTTGTATTGAACCTGCATGTGAACGTGTAGTTCCGTGAACATGTCCATTTTTCTCTGACCTCGAACCTTAAGCTTTTTCTATCCTAGGAAAGGGGAATGTCACTTGTACAGAGATAGGTAAATAAATTTGTTGCTCTTGTTGTGTCCTTTTGTCTGATGAATTTTGCCCTGTCCCCCCAGGCTGGCTACACGGCCATCATGCTGGCTTCCCTGGCCAAGCTGCAGGGAGATCGTCAGATGGAGGTGGTGAAGAAACTGTTCCAGGCCGGCGACGTCAACATCCGGGCCACACAGGTCTGTCAGGAAAACTCATTTTATCTGCTGAATGTTTCCCTTTGTCATGACTATTGTTTAGTTGCTTGTTTGTATCGGTAAATCGGTTGGTAAGGAATATATACTGGGTTCTTTGATTAGCTACAAATATGTCAGAAGGTCATGTAGCTGAAACCAAGTACATGTAGAACATAGATGAAAGATTTTGGAAACAAAAAGATGATGAATGTATTCGCAATACTTCAAGAGGACAGACTGCATGGTAACCAGCGTGTTGTTTCTTATGTTTCCCCCCAGGCTGGACAGACCGCGCTCATGCTCGCTGTGAGTCACGGGCGGCAGGAGATCGTCAAAATGCTGATCGAGGCGGGCGCAGAGGTCAACCTGCAGGACGAGGTAGTTTAATGACAATCTCTTTTGTCTCTGTCTGAAACGCCGAGCGTGTTGTTACAAAATTGGTACAATTTCATATATTCAAGATTTCACTGAGGAGATTGTGTTTCCTCACAACTACTAGCATCATCATGCCATTCATTTCATTTCTTTTTTTGCTCTCTTGTTCTTTCTTTCCCTCTCGGAGTTACCAGTCTATGAACAAAAATTCTGGTGTGTTACATTTGTGGTACTTTAAATATTCACGGTGTTTGCTGTGAAATTGTGAATTTGTCATTAACGCAAACAATTTGCCAAATTTCCTCTGCACCTGTCACCACCGCAAACGTATACTTCCGTGAACATTTCCATTTTTTCTCAGACAGTGAACTTTCGCTACCGCCAATACCAAGTGGTTTACAGTATCGTCCACTAGTTTCACATTTTAGTTAGACTAACAGACCCCACCCCTCCCCGCCATCCCTAACCACGACTGTTTCTGTGCTCTCCCTGTCTCACCAGGACGGCTCCACCGCCCTGATGTGTGCCAGTGAACACGGGCACTTGGAGATAGTCAAGCTCCTCCTGGCCCAGCCGGGCTGTGACGCTACCATCACTGACAATGTGAGTACCCTATCCTTAACCTCTTCTGCTCATCAAACCTTCATGGTACATACAAAATTAATCTTACAACTCCCAGTATCACAGAGCTTATTTGTTATAGAGGAAAGAAAATTTTTTATTCTCTATTCTTTATGAAGATGTTTATTGTACATACATGCCCACTGGGATAGGTAAAGGTCACAGTAAAGGAACTAGTTGTAAGTTGTATAACATTGTTTACATACACACGACCATGCTAGTACTTGTACTATAGTCCAAGATGTAACATGGCGCAAGAAAACTCCTGTATAGTTCAGAAAGCTAGAATCACAGTCCCTTAAAGGAAAAGGGAGGGATTAAGTCACAATCTCTTCTGTTTGATTCTTCTGTTGTCATCATTTATCAATCATGTACTAAATTCATCTCATACGAAATAACACTAACATATATCAGATAAAGACAGTACATAATACCACATGTGAAGTACGGATGTACTTTGATATCTAAATACCTACAAAGCAAGACATTTTTATTTAAGTTTCTGCACTCCAAAACTGTAGCAAAAGCTGTAGCAACATGTTGAATCACTCAAAAGTTAGACCGAAACATCCATACATGAAGAAAATGTTGCTCATAAAGTATTATTGATGATATTTTGTGGTTATAAATGTAGGATAGATTACCAGTAGTCTTGTAGTATTATTATTTAATAGCTGTTGCCATAAATTCTACCCAGTACAATTGTCTGGCAGTAAATTCTATTATTTATTCATTCTATTGCCTGATTTGCATGACTGGCAGGATGACAGCACAGCTCTGTCCATCGCCATGGAGGCAGGACATAGGGACATCGGTGTGCTGCTCTACGCTCAGGTCAACATGGGGAAAACTGCACCGGTAAGGAAACATGCACTGGAATACAGGAGTTACTTTTTTACATTAACAATTAAGTTTAAATTACTGACATTTCGTTGTCTATCAGACACCTTCCTCAGAGCTTCTGACTGGAGTTTTGCTTCTAGCGTATACTCCTGTATCCTATACTTTACCAACCTGATGAAACTAACAAAACTGTCTATAGTAGATACCCGAGATTCTTTTAAAAAAATCAAGTTGTTGATGGCCACCATGAAGCAAGTTTAAACTGTAATTTCCAATGCATGAACTTGGCCCTACCCAATTTTTTTACTGTATAACTCCAGTCTTTGTCAACTAAACTAAATGTTTGTTCTGTTATGTATCATGCAGGGTGGAGGCAAGGGAAGGAGGTTATCACCCAGGTAAGTCAATTTTACCCTTACATAATCACACCATTCCATTATCACAATCAGATCAGCACAGTGTACATGTAGAGAATGTTAAAATACTTTTAAGAAACTGAATTGTATATATGACTCCCAGGCGTGGATATGTTACTGTCATGAGAGAAAGAAATCCTCCTTTTTTGAGGGAATGGCAACTGTTGATGAATAATGAGGGATCTTTTAAATAAGGTACTGAGACAAACCGAGACATTCAGAATTAAGTTATTTAGTACATGCACGGCAACTACACTGTGCATTCTTTTAATTGCAATTTTAGCTGAAAAAACATACGTTTTTGAAAGCTGTTTGATTTTTTTTAAGCAAACTGTTTTCTTTTTCTCTTTCCAGCCCAACACGAAGAAAATCACCCTAGTTGTACTGACGTGCATGAAGAGAGGAGGGTCCAGTCACCCCTGTTGAACAGTGGTATCACCTAGTTTTTATGTTACTTTTATGCCAGATGTCGGATCATGCCACTTTCAGAACAGGGTATATTTTAGAACATTATTGCAGACAAGAAGGGAAGATTGTAAATGGTGATTAAAAGTCACTGGATATGAATCTATGTTCCAAATTGCTGCAGCATCACATTTTTGTGTCTAAGAAATTGCATGCTCATATTTGGGGCATATAAAACTTTGCCTCGAATGTTTATTATGTAATGTTACGTGTATATTCTGAACCTTACTACAGTTAACAGAAAAAAAATCATTAAAGAAGCTTCAGAAATATATAAGTTGAATATCGCAGAACTCGAGCAAAGCCACCATTGGTATATTGATAAGGTATGTTGAAGATACATGTTTGTATCCTTAGAAGTAGGGGAAATTTCTTAGCAAGTTAAGTTTATTCCATGTGTCGTACTAACATACATGTATATTGTTATGTATTAACATGCTCTCAGCTCTGCTCAGCAAATACTTACCACCCCTCGGACAGAGTGGAACTGACCACATCTTCCTAGAATATGTCTGCTTTTAGAGCAGTCCACTTTGTGTCAAGGGGTGGCAGGGCTAAGCAGTAACAATGTATTCAATATGTTATTTATTGTAAGGTTTTGAATAAGGTACATGTATACCAATACCATGATATCTTTCATTCACTACAATGCAAGAAAGGTTACTTGGTACTAACTATGGATACACTGTCATAAGGTATTATCCAAATAGATTTTTAAATAACAACATATGTATAACTGTCTTTCAAACAGGAAGAATACAAACAGTCTAAATGACAACCAGATATCAGATCATAAAAATGAATACTGGCCGAATTGTTGCCAGATTGCAAGACAAGTACAATGCCACCATGACAGCTGTAAATAAATAAATACCTAAATACCCAACCCAAGAAGGCACCTGTAGTCTAGGCAGTGTTTAAAAAGTGCCATGACATCGTCATTTTGACAACAGAAATATAAATTTTATACCCTCGAGTTAACCACATGTATGTCACATGTATGGTGATGGATATAGAAAAAAGGAATATATTTTGAAAGCAAGAAGAAGCTATTTTAGTATTTCAGGACGTAAATGATAGCAATAGTAAGATTACTACTAACATGTTAATCTGTGATGATACAGTTGACCATGCTTCCTTGTCCTGCTAAATTGTAGTTTTACTAACAACATGACCGCTCTGAATGTTTCATGGTGAATACATAAAAACTGTGATGACAAACTTGTCAGTGTACAGCTGTGAGAAGCTAGAGGGGCTGTTGGTGCATGTGGTCTATGATTAATCTTTGATGGTCAATTTGACAAAGTTGCAGAACTGGAAACTGCAGTTCTGAAATATACTGCTAGGCGTCCTCGTGAAAATTGAACACATACCTGAACAGTGTCTGTCCTTTCATGCTGTAATGAAGGAAGAAAATTTTTTGTTGATAACATACAGTAATACTTTTCATGAAATGGATGTTGAAATGCAGGGGTAAAAGAAAAGGAGAATGAAAAAAAAGACAACTTTTGACTGTCATTGCCATATGCTCCAGGATTCCCTTTTATTCTAGGCTTTCACATTGACAAATACATTTTAGCTCCTTTTTTCTGGTCCATGCATGTCTATGCACTTGTGAAACATAAGATTTCACTCCGATTTCTGTTGTTCATCAGGCTAGATATACTTTGTGTATCTACATGTATTATACAATAGGAAGCATTCACATTACGATACAGAATCAGTGAAACAATCATACCTTAATTATGATAAAGAGGTCACCTCATTTACATTTATACATCATACCATATACTTGTATACTAGAAGTGGATAGAAAAACTGTCTGCCAATCTGGATGCACCCCTTTCATGCAAGGACCAGAACAAAGTTGATCTACACTTTGGTTATTGATTTAATTAACAGGATCAGAACAGGAAGCTAAATATGTAGTGTTAGTTTCCCAAGTATGTTACAAATGAGCAATTATCTATTTCAAGCCACATATAGCTAGACATATTTGTCATGTATGTTGCTATACACCTCAATAATGTAATATTATACTTAAGTTAATATGGTGAGGAAACAGGAAAAACCATGTACCAAATACTCCATATGATTATGAAATCAACCAGTTTCTGGCTGAAATTACCCTTCATATAGGACTCTATTTTAGCAAATTTGTAGCTGAGTGTCCTTGCTGAAAGAACAAATTCATAGTGCCTTCGTCTGTGTCAAAACTGGGCAGAGCACAAGGGGCTACATGATACTACATATGTCTTGATTCCAGGCCCTATAATTTACCAGTGATCTAGTACCAACTACATTTGTACATGTAGAAACTTTTGAATGCTGACAAGGAGTCTTAGGTAATACTGTTATAGCACATACTCCATTCCCTTAGCCTAAGTTGGTATCCCGAAACCTAGCTTCCATTTCTAGCTCAATATGTACTGATTTCTGCTAGCTGTAACATGCTGGTAAATCCTGTCAGCTATTAGGAGATGATTGCACTCAGAAAATGGTACATGATAGGCTGAAAAGGAAAAGACAGCAATATTTCAACACCACCCAGAAACTGCTAACTTTAAAGCTCAACTGAATCTACCTCTCCGGTTATGACAAAAAAAAAAGTGTACATGGTGCTTCCAAACAGAGAAAGGGGTAACGCTTTCACATTTACTTTGGTGTCAGTCTGTGTGCTGATATACTGTCCATATAGTGGTTGATACCTTGTTGTGTGGACAAATTGGCCATACATGCACAACCAAAGTTACATAGTGATACCCTGTTGTTATTAGAGGCTGAGTTTCCTTCGTGGCTAAAAATGCAGCATTGTTGACTTTCGTAACTCACTTAACTGTTTGTATCTAAACTTTAGGTGGTATTTCTTTGTTTATAAATTGTCTTTTCCTGTAGTAGTGTAATGGAAGGATTCAAGTTTCCATTTTTATCCTGTAGACTACAATAATTTTTAGAGAGATACCCGGTATCCATAGACATTTTGGGTCAAAAATACCTTTGATTTTAGAAATTATATGTTTGATTTGAAGACCAGGTCCTAATTCTGAGTATAATGTTTGTATTATTTCTCAATCGGTAGAAAACTTTTACCTGAACTTGCCATTATATTTCTATAGTTATTTCACACCTTTTAATTGTGAATGTACTGCCCTATATTGGGGCAGTGTGTGGTACTGTGGGGCTAAGCAGAATATTAAAATTATGATGTTTCCACTGGTTGATTTGATAGTATACCTTCACAATGTGAGGGGTGTGGGCTGCCATTTGGTGAAAAATAATGGTTTTAATTTTAAGATTACAGAAGAGAAGTGGCTGGCAATGGCAGGGTATGTGACCTACAGTAATTTTTAGCCAGTCGTGAATGTAGTCCTGTATGTTACCACAAGAAGTGATATCGTCTTCCTGATTCCTTGTATCACCTGTATGTATTTTATGTAATAAACAAGTATGTAATGAACAAGTTATGTCCATTTATTAGAGAGCACTAATTTAGGCAATCTACCATCATTATTAGCACCTGTACTTTAGTCAGTATACAGTATTCATACTATGCTGTCAGGTACCTTATTTGAAATAGGTAAAAGGCATTCAAAAAGCGCTAGGTTTACGAACACATGGCTGTATAATGTGTAAAATGAGTCACTCTTTGTATCTATTTATGTGTTTCACAAAGAAAATCAAACTTAAGAAGTATATGAATGAAAATCAGTCTCTCTCGCACTTCACAAATCGCCAGAGGTCGCTGCTACACGGTACATCTACCGGATAGTGTCAATACGTTTCACAGACGTCAGGGCGCTTCGGAGTCAACAGAGCGCCTATTTCCAACTTTAACCCTAATCATAACTTCAATTCTAACCATTGCAATAACCAAAACAACGGCTTAAAACATGGGACGGCGATACATAACAGGAAATGTTGCTGTGAGTAATTTAGTATTTTGCACAAAGGTTCATCACAAAGGCCAGTGTGCAACTACTGCACTACTACAGTTACGTCAAAGTTACGTAAGCCACAGGTAAATGTGACCCTGCAGTTTGGAGACAAATCGCCAGAGGCCACTGCTACACGGTCCTTCGGCCAGGTTTCGACCTGACGTTTTGCCTACGTCAGGACGTTTTGCAGTCAACGAAACGACTATTTCATACTCTAACAGTAATTAATTCTAACAATAGCGATAATCATAACAACAAAATTTCAGCTAAAAACATGGGACGGCAAACCATAACAGGAAACCGCAATTTCAGCGGCGTTTTCGAGAATGTTGCTACGAAAGAGACGCTACTTTTACTATTCAACATCACCGAACATGTATTGTAAACAAGCACGGCGACCCAGTTGTGTTTGGTGCGCGACACGGTAGAATTGGTCGCGTTGTAGAGTATTCAGCGGGATTTGAAGACCACCGACCCTCCGTAAACCGAGTTAACAGAGCAGACAATTACAAGCATAAGCGACACCCATATTTTGGGGTGAAAACAGATAAAATCACGCAAACGACAGTGCAGTACAGTGGTAGAAAATACGATTTGCATATGAATCACTGCACTGGGGTCAACAATGCTAGACCATGCAGCAACGACCTCTAGCGATTTATTACATTCCTCTGTAGGGTTTCTCTGCTCCAGGCCTCTTGATCATATCAGCACCAAGGTCAGCACCAGGAACAGGCTTGACCCTGCGGCTTTTCAGAAGGATCTCGTAGACTGGAACAGCCTGACTTTGCGGCGATTCAGAAGGATCGAATGATAACTGGGGCACTCAAAGGAGGCTGATAGCCTTGTACAGACTTGGCCATGAGATCATCTGAAATGAATTGCTTGCCTGTATCAGCTGACTCAGCCATACACTTCGCAGCAACATTCCCGAAAACGCCGCTGAAATTGCGGTTTCCTGTTATGGTTTGCCGTCTCATGTTTTTAGCTGAAATTTTGTTGCTATGATTATCGCTATTGTTAGAATTAATTACTGTTAGAGTATGAAATAGTCGTTTCCTTGACTGCAAAACGTCCTGACGTCGGCGAAACGTCAGGACGTAACCTGGCCGAAGGACCGTGTAGCAGTGGCCTCTGGCGATTTGTCTCCAAACTGCAGGGTCATTTTAACAGTGGCTTACGTAACTATGTTACTCTGGGTCTCTCTGGCTCTTTCTTTTTAATAGCATAAAAACAAATGAATTTCAAGGGAGTCTCACATAGGGGATGATTGCGTACTGCACTTCTTCGTACTTCTGTCGTAGGACGATCAAGATGTCGTATATTGTCCAAAAGAAAATTAAATTTATATGAATCGGAACAATATAAACTTACGAGCAAGAAGAGGGGCGTACAAGGGGTGATTGTTAGCAAATATTCCACTATACCGGGATTCGGTAAATCTCTATTTTAGCCCCTGATGTCGAAACCTGGGAACGAGTCACTAACACATGTGGTTGCGTGATCGCGGCATGTTAAACGGCCTTGTACTGCAGGTTTGGTAGCCTCTACCAGGCTTGAGGGCGCGGCTGGAAATAGTAGAAATTGGCCAAATAGAGATATAACACGCCGAGGGAGTTTAGCCATCCAGTTTACAGTTTGCCGGCCCGAGGTTTGGCCATGGTCTTGTAGCCATTCAAAATGAATTGATAGCCTGGAACAGGCCTGGCCATGGGACACTCAAGGGGGTTGATACCCTTGTACAGGCTTGGCCGTGAGACCATCTAATAACATTGTAACTACACTTTCCCCAACCTTGATTGATTGATTGATGTTTAATCACAGATGTGCTTGCTGTATTGGTCTACTTTTAACATATCGGTAGTCTTTTCTTACTTGTGCCTCAAAGTCTGTTTTAAACGTGACCATTTCCTCCTTAGCCACGTCCCGTCGTGTCAACAGCTGACTCAGTACTCTGTGGACAATCGGCTTTTGTTCAGCCTTTATAGCTAGCTATTTCTGTCGCGTGAACTTTGCTCCTAATCAACACATACCGTAAACTTCCAAATTTCCGTTACTACGAAAAGTGTCCTTTGGTGTACTTTCTTGACAAAATGATGGACAACTACTCCCAGTAAACTGGCTGCATTGTCGACATACATCGTACCCTAGTGACAGCCAAGACCTACCTGTACCTCGACCCTTAAAGTTGTAACGATTTCCTAAGGAAAGATATGGCTGTTATATATGCTGTCGATCAGTACGCATGAGTCATGGTGAGAAAGTGCCAACTGCGATCTATACTTCCTTTGGTGGAATGTTTAGCGTTTTTACTTACAAAAAAATCAATGTATAGATGTCACCGGTAAAGGTTTCAACAACCATCATGTTGTCGTTTTTTTTAACTAAGAAAAATTGTGTAAGACGATTTGAAAATGCTGGATAGGTAGATTGTAGAGGTAGCTATATTTTCCTCCTTTCTTTCTCTTTTTTAACGCCTAGTACAAGTGTTTACTTCAGTCTGCTCGCCTAATACAATGGCATGTCAAGCCTCGTGATTACACTTTGCCCTTCATAATTTCAGACATCGTATATTCCAAGTACTGTACTTTGGTCAACGTTTCAAAGTCAACAGCAAAGTTCCGCTAGTTTAAACCCCCTCGACGTTGTTTACGATTGGTTGCCCTGGGTGTAACCTTAAAGAGAACGGATCGCAACTGTCCAAAGGAATGTTATTATTTTTTTCCTGTTGAGCGATTAACAAATGTCACAACTTGTCGGAACAAGCCACACTTTCATTGTTTTATCAGTGATTACACATTTTCTGGCTTCGGGGCTTTTTGAAGAAAAAAAATTCATAAAAAGAAATACATCGGCGATTGCGATGGCGAGTTAAGCTTACTGACACCAGGGACATTATGTCGATATACATGTAGTTTGCTGACACGTTGATTTGAGTATTCATGGCTCTTGTACGTACATGTAGGACAAGGAAATTGAGTGTTCTGGGAAAAAACGATGCGTGGGACAGACTTTTTTGTCGCCACCTGATGTTTGTTAATGACGTAAACGAACCTAGTGCTAAGCAACCAGAGTGGTACTGAGCATTGCAGGACGTTTCCAGGTCCAACAATAATCTTCAGCTTATCATACTAAAAATGTGGCGATTCACTAGATAACGATTGCAGTGACTTAGCTTGGATAATTCAGCAGCCATCCTGCAAAAGAACTTTAAGTGAACGCGTTTCGCTGCGCTCTTAGACAGTACAGACATGACAAATGCTTCTATTTGTACCAACGGAATATGTAACCGATCGATAGGTTTGGCAAAAGTCCATTCTGCAGCGGTAACAACGTAATATTCTGGTCTTGTTCAACACACTTCAGCTTGTCCATGTTCCACAATGCGTAGGTCAACACCGGTGTTACACTGTCTACCGAGATCTGCCAAAGTTTTCAATCATATGCTGTGTTTTAATTTTCGCGAAGTGTCTTCTTTCCTCTGTCTAAGTCTCGACAGCGTTGAAAAAAGATGTTAAAAAGGAAAGTTAAAACTATCGTTTCTCCTGTCTAGTTTTCCTTCTTTTTTTATTTAGTTATATCCCAATTAAAATTGGGAACGAAAAACAAACTCAAGACACGTATGCACATAGTCCCCAAATTTATAAACAATCAGTCTATAATGCAAACAGTTCTTCGGAAGAGGCATGAGAAAGGCAAACATAAATCTAGCACCATTTTCTTTCTGGAATCAAAATCAGGGACTTGAACATAGCTAAACCTGGATCTTTTGCTTAGGTCACATTTCCACACCGTGGCCGGGCTGTTTGTATGAACGAAAAAGTACCAATACATATCGAGAATATACAGAAATAGTGCACATGGTTATTATCAAAACCTTTTCTGTGTTTTGTTGTCTTTTGTATTGTACTTTTCGTTCTCAAAAGCTGTCCGGCCGGGCCCCGTGTTGGAATTGTGACCTCAGCATTTAAGGGTGGCATGCCATGGGCTTTCACTCAAACCAGAGAAGTGCGATACTTTGGCCCACAGCGCCGGATTCTCTGTTCCCCATAGTAACCAGGTGTGTCCTGACGTACAGGACAAAGGTGAGGTGAGGTATGCCGCTGCTGTGTACATATACGTGCCCGACGTTTTTATTGCAGCATAATTTAGGGAACCCGTCGACCAAGAGCGTACGTGCGAGATTTTAAAGAAAGCAGACCTACTTTCAAGATGTGGCCACGACCTTAAGGACGCTATCTACTTGAAGACGAGTTGGTTACTGATTGAACATCTTGTATAGGTTACTCCAGCGGTACTTTAACAGTGAGACTCTTTGAGGAAGTAAAAGGACTGAAAAAAAGGTAGGCCAAGATGGCGGGTAACATTCATGACGACTTCCACAGCCAACTGCTGGCTGGTGAGCGAGAGGAACCGAAGTGGATGAGGAAGAAGCCGCAGCTCACTGTCCTAACGGACAGCGTGGCCAAGGACGAGTCGTCTGATGGCACCGAGGTGCACATGTGTCTGAAGGTGCTGAAGCTAGTACTGTCCATCTTTGTGGGGTGCGCCTTGCTGGCTTGCCTGGTCTCCACCAAGGTTACGACGATCATCATAGCACAGTCTTTGGCTGAAAATTGGAACGCAACTAACGCTACGTCTGAAGACAACTTGAACTGGGTCGGTTCGGAGTTAGACGTGAAAAGAGAGACGGCCATAGTTGCCCTGACCATCATCATCATGATGCCGTACCTGCTCACCTTCATCAGGTGTGTGTGGCGAGGCAGGTGGGGCAAGAACACACCTTGGCCGACCCGGGAGGCACTGCTCTTCGTAAGTATTCGTCTTTATTTTCCGTTTAAACGGATTTTAGATCTGTAAAATCACCAATTGCTGTGCGCCATGGAGGATCTCAGTTAGATGTTTCGTTCCAGTCCGGTAATTTTGGATTTAACAATGGTACAAAATGAAATTAGCTTACTTAATTACCTCCATGAAATGTGTCATGGAGGTTATATTTTCAGTTGCGTTTATCTGTCCGTCTGTCCGTCTGTCCGTCCGTCTGTTGGTCAACAAGATAACTCAAGAACGCCTGGATGGATTGGTTTCATACTTGGTGTGTTGGTAGGGTGTGACGAAAACTGGAAATGATTAGATTTTGGTCCCCCTAGTGGCTTCCCTTGGTACTGCAGCGCAACTTCCGGTTTTGATATCTCGCGATCTGGACATGTTAGGGTCATGAAATTTTGATGGAAGGTAGCTCTCGTGCTTGGGAAGAAGTCATATGAGTTTGGGCCCCCTAGCGGCTTGTTCTGGAACTGCAGGGCACTTTCTGGCAAAATGTTTAAAAGCCAATAAGTCCAGACAGGAACAACATATTTTCATTATTTTTGGTGTGTAGGTAGCTGAGAGAGAGATGTACATAATTAAATGCAAATTATGCAAATGAGGACTTAATTTGCATAATTAATGAGGAAATTCTATAATTACAGTGTTTTACATTATACTACTTACATACATGTAATGTATGTAACCTATGGCAGGTGGAACTTCAACAGATACTAATTATGCAAATGATGACCTAGTTTGCATAATTAATGCGGAAATTCTATGATTTCGTAATGGTGAATGATGAGAATGTCATACTTGGGACATCTGTAAGTTAATCAAAAGTTAACATACATCACGATGCATATATCATGTTAATGCAGAGGTCATTTGCACAATTAAAGAAGAAATTTACATTTACATATCAAGATCATATTTCATGGAGGTATGAGATCTCGGAATTCTAGTTTGACTTAAATTTTTATTCATTACCATTATTTTTATCTATTATCGTTGTAAAGTTCAGTATTGCTTACATAGTAAACATTTAAAGCATTCGTTGGTAAATCTAACTTTTCGTGCAGTGATATAAACTTCCCTAGAAAGAAGGTTGGGCGTAGCCAAGGTTAGTAGGGAGAACAGTAGTTTTGTGAATAAGTCGTGACTATGTTGTCCCCGTGACTCACGTAACAATGCCATAGTTGGCGTTCTGTTTGTACATGTACACATTGCCATACATGCACAGACTAGCTCGCAGCGTTTACTTTTCTTATCTTTCACAAATTAGTTACTAAGTACTAATTTTACCTGCCCCTTTTTTTATAAGTGATCGTTTCCGGGTGGGATCACTACCTGACTCCTTGTTTTTTTCCTTTAGTAAAACAAGTGTCATATAACCTTCACGTCTCACCTAGTTACAACACGTTAGTTTACTGTAAGTAAATAGTCAAACTCAGATAAATCAGCAGTTAACATAAACTTCGGCTTCTGTGTGCTCCTCCGGCTGTGTCGCAGGCCCAATTTCCAGTGCCTCAAACTAAAGAAACTCAAAGTGACTGCAAGAATATAAGTTGTGGCTAACTTGAGTTCACAGTCACGTAGTCTGTGTCCTTTCGTCTGTATTCATCACTGTTTTTCTGAATGAAAAAAATAAAGTTTCTGTGCCACATGCGTCTAGACTTGTCCCGGCGGCTCGATGCTCCCGCCGCACCAACCACGCTCTTAAGCTGCAGACCATCGAGAGTAAATCCAACTACAACAGACTCTCGTTCTTCCCTCGTACAATCAAAGAGTGGAATGAACTTAAGCCTGGTGCGGCGGAGGCGGGGTCCCTCGCCCAGTTCAAAACTGGACTGGAGAGGACGTCCCTGTTGCATTGAGTCGCCCCTACACGTTTGTATATATGTAACGTTATATATATATATTCACCCACAGATTCAGTTTATTTATGTTCCTTAGCGTCCCCTCCTTCAGTTACCCTTGTTTTTATTTGTACCGGTCACCTGTTTTGTAACTAACATATGTGCAGCTGCTCGTAATGCAAATCGGGCTAAGCAGTACATAAGATGATGATGATTAAGTTTTTGCTGACCCTCCCCCCACCCTCCCCCCAGGGTGTTCTGACAGCCGTGTTGGAGGTGGTGGGTCTGACGATGTTCACGGTTGTGGTGATGGCCCTCGCCCGGAGGTCTCTCAGCATCGTCCTCATGAACAGCATCTTCCTCATACCCTCCATGGTCCAGATCTACCGGCACTCCTCGGCCGTAAAGGGATGCGCAACGACAGTAAGTACATCTAACATTAGATCTGTGCTGTACTCATTTTGAAGAAAGTCCTGAAAAAAAATGTAAGAATTAAGTAAGATACAGTGATTACATGTTTATCTAATTGATTGAGTGGAATTCCGAGTTGCCTCATCACCTCTGCTCTGGAAACCACATAGGAACCTTACTCAAGAAAACAGGCCGTAAACCTGTCTTGGAGTTATTTCTAGAGACACCGGCATATGTCTACTTGACTGAATGTGCTCAGCCGTGGTGGACAAACAGACATGTGATGCTTGTTATATCTTTGGTCTTTTCTGATCTGATATTCTTTTGGGATTTTTTTTGTTACCATCATAACAGCTTAAAGAGGGGTGTAAGCAAGCTGGAAACTTCATGCTTAACACTTTGGCAATGTTGCTGGCAGCAGGATCACTGGTGGCAGTGTTGGCTGTGGAGATCGATAATCCCAACAAACGTATGTATCAAACTCCTATTGTGTTAACATTATATTGTTTTTGCTGTTTCTTCTGCCGATCAAAACGCAAAAGATCATGTGACATCTGTCACCATGGTAACTGGTGTTGGGTTACATTATGTTGCAATTTTATGGCAGGAAGGATTTAGATTCCTGTGGGAGTGTCACCATATATATGAATGTCTTTGAGTAAGAATTAACAAAGCAGACCATATCAGAAGGTAAACATTATAGTTATACATTTGCTTGCAAATGTTACCTTTCTAGTTATGTATACTTTACAGCCTTTATCCAACTGATGAAAACCGTTGAGTCAGATTCTACCTGTACTTAAAAAAACTCACAAAGGAAAGTCGAGTGAACTGTGAATGAATTTTTATTTATTCCAACATTTATCACAAGATATGGTGAGGCAAGTGACATAATTTTTTCAACTTATTTTTATGCTGCCACCAACACAAAGGACAAATGCATGAACGGACAAAAAGCCCTACTCATTTTCACCCGAGTTAAGTGAGGAAAGTCATATCAAGTGCCTTTCCCAATGGCATGGCAGGATTCAAACTCGTGACCTCTTGGTTCTGAGCCAGACACTCTGTTGTTACACCACACGATCCACAAAAATTTAACTCTGGCCCAGCAAACACACACCCCATCTCATATCTCCTCCACTTTCTCCTTGGTAGAATGGCAACAGCTTGTGGCGATCCCCGTGTCTCTGCTGTGCCTCTCCTTCGCATGGCTGCCGACCTTCCAAGAGGTGCAGACGATCCATGCCTTGGATGATGATGATGAGGATGAAACCCTGACCAACAAGGCCACCCCGGGAGCGCAGAACGAGGATGTCATGAGCATGCCCACTACCTACAACGTCAACCGCTTGAGGCAGAGTCGTATCAGTACGACCATGAGGTAAACATGGCTCACACCACACTGTTGTACTCTCCAAGCAGAGGTTTGGGTTTTGGTTTATTTTTGGTGTATTTGTAGACATTTTTATAGGGCTTTCTTTTTTGCACTCGTATCTTTTAAAAAAAGGATACTAGAGTGCAAAAAACAAAGCCCAATAAAAAAGCCTAAAAACATGCTAAGAATAAGCCAAAACCCGAAACTCTGCTTGGAAAGTTGTAGGTTTATGGTATTGCATGGACCTATAATAAGATATGGTGAGATATGATAAACTTGTCTTAACCCAGCAGTAGTTTATAGTCCATAAAATATTTCCAACCAGAATTCGGAGATCTCATACCTCCATGAAATGTATGAGTTTTTCTAAATGTTTTTACACAGTACACTACAGTACAGAACAAAATAACACAGGTTTTTGGTTTCAAACACACAGTAGCACCTTTGGCCTGGATATGGTCATGTAGTCATGCTTTTCCCCGAGGGAGAACCTCATTAATCAAACCAGTCAGGCGCTGCCTCCGCACATCTGTTTTCCCTGCCACCCCGCACATCTGTTTTCCCTGCCACCCCGCACATCTGTTTTCCGTGCCACCCCGCACATCTGTTTTCCCAGAAGTTCTGCTGCAGTACCAAGGTCAGCCACCAGGAGGCCCATATTTGACCTTGACCTTTGGCTTCCTAAGACCCACCAGCATACCAAATATCATCAAACACACACACACACACACATACACACACACACACACACACGCGCGCGCCAAAAACAATACCTCCATTTTTCATGGAGGTAAATATACATACAAATATTTCCACTAATATTCCCATCCAGAATGAAAGACATTTATTTAACAGTAGCATTTCAGCTGGAGAGAAGCTAAGGACTTACTTGTAGGGGCTGGTAGTTTAACAAATGGCCACATATTGAACTTATTGTACCATACTACATGTACATTGTAGTTGAGAAGAGAATAGTGTCCAGTGGAATAACAGACAAGAAAAAAACATTCATGACATCAGTTAATAGAAAACAATCAGGATTTAACTTTTTTGTATTTAAACATTTTTTGCCATGGTTTCGACAGGAAGCTGTCGACCTTAGCACCACCAGTTCGACCCAAGGCAAGAATGCCTGATGAAGAGCCAGCCCCAGAAACAACACAGATGGTGGTCGACGTTGATCCACTTCCAGTGGAAAGTGCTAGGTGGCGCTGTGGCATCATCACAAACTTCCTGAAGCTGCTGCTGACGTTCCCAATGGTTCTGCTGTGGTATGTCACTTTCCTGCAAGGTTAGTACATCAGCCTGGCTTATGCTCATTTGTCACATTTCCAAACCGGGGCTCGGCTAGACTGTTTGTGTGAACAGAAAATGTACAATTTGTATCTATATTCAGCAATTACACTAATTGTGCTACCATAATGAATATTTTTTTCAGTGTTTTTGTGTTGTTTTTTTATATCATTTGCAAGCCATAATCAACTTTCACTTAGGAAAAATATGTTTTGAATTACATGTACATAACCTATTTGATAATATCATTTCACCATTAATGTATTAGTGATTATTAAATTGGAGTAAAGATTGTTTGTTAGAAACAACTAAATGTATTAGACTTCAGTTATTCAAGTAGAAAATGCAACACTTCTGTATTGTTAGAATTTGTTGATTTTATAAGTTAACTAAATTTGCACCATTTCCCAATGCCATACATATAGCATTACTTGAATACCATGATATCTAAACACTTGCTTCTGATTTCTTACACAGCTAACCCATACTCGTTTTGGGACCACTCCAAAGAAATATATGACGGGATCATTAACGACAACAGGATTTTTGTATCCTTCATCGTCAACCTGTCGGCTGGTTTCGGTGCCAACCTGTTGGCCTGGATGGCGTGCTCTATCAGGATGGACGTCATCGGATTTGTCATGCCCCTTCTACTGTCCCCCGTGTTCACAGGGCTGTACACCTACATCAAGGAACTCTGTCTCTTTCCTCTCTTCGGACTGTATATTTCTGACAAGGTAAGAGATTATTTATAGTTATGTCTTGAAGGTGCTTTACATGTATGTTTTTCTGCATAGTAGAACGAATCCAAGCTAGCACTCAGATGATTCTCAGACTTTCTCAAAGCATTACCAGTATATCACAAATACATCTTGGTGCTTTAAATATTACAGATCATGGACATAGTTAATTTTCCCAATCACAGCATACAATTCATGACTATGGTACCTTGTAACGAACTGCTACATTGTACATTAGGATGTAATGTTATTGCTGACTGGAGTCCTTAGCGAGTAGAAGAAGGTCAAACATGTACAAGTAGAAAATTTCCCTGACAAGAAAACTGATTCTTTCTAATGCTGTCTCCCAGGATTGGCCTGACATGATGTGTGAATTCCAAGTACGAGACGAACTAGACAGATGGTGGACTGGTGTGGCTGTCATGATTGTCGGGTATTTCACCATGTTCATCACCTCAGTGCGGTTCCTCTTCAGGAGCTCTGCTACCATCATGGAGAAGGAAGAAAAGGTGTGGTAGCCAATTCACTCCCCTTGATAATTTGACATACTCTCTCATAAAAACCTGTTTTTGTCTTTCTTTGTCACCATGTCTCCAAAACCATGTCCATTCATTGCTAGTAGCAATGATTATCATGACATTTTTAACTGTACTCTGCATTTTTTTGCTATGTAAGGCCATGTTGATTTGATTATATTGATGACATAAACTTGCGCATGAATTTTTGGCCGTTTCCAAAAAAAAAAAAGTTTCCAACCACACTGTAAATTGTACAAAACAGTTCAGCAAATATATACCGAAAGTTGCAAAAACAATATTTGAAAACGATTCCAACGTCGTAGAATTCCAAAATCAAACAAAAAACTAAAATGCAAAGAAATTAATTTAAAGAGTAGATTATTCGGCATACCATACTCTGTGGTGTCATTTATTCGACCTTCATAACCACATGGATTTCATGAAAGCAACTTTTTTTTTTGCAAAACTTTTTTTTTTATTCGCGCGCTCGCATCAGTTTTGGGGTTCCCAGAGGATGTCATCCATATAATCAAATCAACATGGCCTAATGTAGTGTTGTACTTGTACTTTGCCCCTAAGGATTTCTCTCTGTATGAGTATTTGTCCTAAAGGCTGCCCTCTTAATGATTTCCTGATGTTGAAAAGTGTAATTTTTTGGTGATGTATTCTGAAATGTTAATCCCTTCATAACCAGTATGGGAAGATTAGCAGCATTGGAAGATTAGCTCCTGAACTGAGATCTATTTTGGTTTCTCCAGCTGTTCTGGTTGCCAGGATACAACACCATCTTCCCGGACCAGTGGCTCATGTTGTCGCGCCGTAACAAGGACACCAGCCCGGAGCTCTATGAGAGATCGACACGCAGCATGAAGAACACAAGAGTCTACATCTGCACAACTATGTACCGCGAGGTAGTCGCCAGTTTCTCTGTACATGTGTGTGTGTGTGTGTGTGTGTGTGTGTGTGTGTGTGTGTGTGTGTATGTGCGTGCATGTCTTTGTGTGTGTGTTTGTGTGTGAATGTGTGTGTTAGCATCTCCTGCATGTTTTGAAAGTTGTCCTCTTAAATTCCCAAAGACAGATTCATTGCTCATAAAGTGGGAGTGTTTACTCTTAAGCACAAAGTAAACGGATGAATGAATGAACAATGAATTAACAAAAATTAAATGATGAGCTTACTAGGTTTTTTTAAGATAGCATAGTTAACGTTACTGTATCAATAATTGTTGCAATCATCAACATATTTTAAGTCGTCTATTCAAACCCTTCAAACATTGTTAATCAGAATGAACAGGAGATGCAGCAGTTGTTACAGTCCATCCGGGGTATCGCAGAGGCTCAGGGTCCAGAGCGTCAGTACGAGTCTCACATCTTCTTCGATGGCGGGTGTCAGAAAGGCCAGCCCACAGAGTTTGCCCTGCAGCTGCTGTCACTGACAGACAAGACCATGGGCTGCACCAAAGGTTGATCAGGCCAGGCCTTGAACTTTTTTTTATTCCAACATGTAATGACTAGACATGGGGACAGCACACTCAACTTCAACTTATTTTTATGCCGCCACCAACACAGAGGACAATACAATACTCATTTTCACCTGAGTGAAGTGAGGAAAGTCGTGTTAAGTGCCTTTCCCAAGGGAACAAGATTGGTGGCATGGCAGGGTTCGAACCCAGGACCTCTTGGTTCTGAGACTAGCACCACACCACACGACCCCACAAACTTCATCCTCTGTTTGACAATTTCTGTAAGCCATAAAATTAATGTCACCAAGGCTGCAAAAGCCTCATTTCAAGGACGCCATTCTCTTCAGACCCTCAAATCTCCTGCTAAAGTGTTGAAGAAATTTATTTCATTTTGAAATGGACCTTTTGAGACACACGCTCATTATGTTTGGTAATCGTCACACTTTGTTTTGTGCTTCACAGTACTTTTATGATGGACTTGCACATACTAAATTAATAGTTGGCATACATGTAGTTATCGTGAGTTCTTTTGATTGGTTGCAAGTTGTTGCAAGTCACTTAAGGAATAAATTTCCTTTGTGTGTCATGCATTCTGCTGCAGTATTTATTGTTATTTTCTCCACCCCAGAGAAGAAAGGCATCCTGCGTCAGGCGCATAAGTGGGCGACCCCATACGGACTACAGGTGGAGTGGCGGCTGAAGCTGGCTGCCGACAGTCACCGGGAGACGCGCTTCTGTATCCATCTCAAGGACAACAGCAAGGTGCCATGGAAGTCTTACTTGTATCAGGGGAAGTTCTATATTCCAACACCCCTATGTTTTTCTTCGACCCCTACATTTTGATAAAGGGTTAGAGTTGTCGTAACATAGAGGCTCAAAACATAACCATGATTCCAATGTTTGTTGTAAATCTTAGTATATATGAGAGAGTCTAGTAAACAAGAAGAGGGAAGCTGTCACTGGTCCTTTCTGTGAGCTTTGCTGTTTGGTTTGCTTTCTGTAACCCTACATTTTGATAAAGGGTTAGGGTTGTCAGAACGTTTGGGTGTCAAAATATATGAGGGTCAGAACATAGGGGTGTAAACACTTTTACAATATTTGTTGTAGAGTGCAGTGAGCAAGAAGCGGAAAGCTGTGACTGCCCTAATCAGTTTGCTTTCTTTAGAAGCTCAACAGATGTTCTCATCTAGTGACCATTGAGGAACCTTTTTGTTTCCTATACACGTTGGATTACACCATCTTCCTTGTGTTTCCAGGTCCGTAACAAGAAGCGATGGAGCCAGGTCATGTACATGTCCTATGTACTGGATCATCTGGGTAAGAAATCCATAACTAAATTTTGTACTCTGCATGTAGTATTTTCTTTTTAACAGCAAAGTCCAGAAAGATTCTTATTTCTTTACTGAAGGGTATTTAGGATTTGGAGGACATATTTTCCTGACATTTTTAGGCTAAAAGTAGTACAGTCTGATTATAAACCACAGTCTAAGAGTGCAGTCAAACTTGTCTAAAACAACATTAACCAGCCATAATCCGATCATCATAAGCAGAAATTGGGCCATGTGCAGTCCCAAACAGTGTAGGTCGCAGCTGCGTTGGACAAATGATTGGCTTAGGCAAGTCTATGGCCTATGGGGAAATAAATCGGGACCGAGAAAAAGCGGTCATTATGGCCAGCTTGTAGAGATGGTCACAAATCAGTGCTACAAAATGCATGCTTCTCACCTTCTCCTACACAGTGTATTATAGTCCCTTGGGTATGGAGTCTGGGGCGGTCAAGGACAGGGAGATTTTGGCCAGCAGTGAAGACAAGGACCATCAGGCCAAATGTGCTCGTCTGAACAGCTCCAACTGCTGGAGGACTGAGGGCCACACCGGCCAGACCCACCAGTTTCTGGAGGTGGATCTAGGTGAGAACGCTGTTTGTCAGTTCTTGTTTCTACTTTTTCGTACATTTTTCTTTCTATATCCAGTAAGTTGACAGAACAAGGACAATTTTTAAGTACCCCGGTAGCACTGCACTGAAATTATACAACTTAACGTTATATCAACAGCGGTTGAGTTGTTAGAATATAGCAATGCCAGAACATAGGGGTATCAAGAACATAGAAGAAGAACTTTATTGCACAACAATTATTTCACATTGTTGTATTCAAACTATTGCTAATATCTAACAATTAAGGACTAAATTTTATAAACTTTATAGGTCATCATTAAACAGTGAGAACACTCTGATTATAGTAATCCTCTGGTAATGTCTAGGTGAGGAGACGGTGGTTACTGGAGTGTCCACCCAGGGGAACCCTAATGAGAATGAGTGGGTGGAGAGGTACAGGGTTTCCTACAGGAAGGACAAGGATGACTTGTGGGAGTACTGCAAGAACAGTGCCAACAGTGACATGGTGAGAGCTCTCTGTTTACCATAATGTAGTTTATCATCAAATGCAGCGATGATGATGATGATTTTTTAAATTATTATTTAAGGCCACACCAATTTAATTTCTTGGTTAACGGATTTTTCTAGAAAAATAATGGAGCGGGCGGGCGAAAAAAAAAGAAAAAAAACTGGCCTAGGCATCTTATTATGGCCCAAAATGGTACGATAGGAGCCATGAAGTCAACATACCAGGCTGGTTCAAAATTTAACTATGAATTTTGAACTTTTAATGATACTACTGCATTGAAAGATGGAATGACTGTAACAAGTAGTAAGAAAAGGACTGTTTTCAACTGTTCAAGGCAAAAGATGATCATTTTGCAGTTGATTCTGAATTTTTATTTTTATTTGCAAACCAGAAAAAAATGAAGCGGCGAATCCGTTAACCAAGAAATTAAATTGGTGTGGCCTAACAGTACAAAACAAACAGGTGTGACTGTAGCAGCTGCTATGCTTGACCAAACCCCACCAGTCCTGCAAAAGTTGTTTCTTTCCTTGGTTTGACAAATGAGGCTTTTCAATTTGCAGTTATGATGTTGATGAGAGGCAGATCTTTATGCACATCACAGCTTCATATTGTCCTTTCTGATCATACTGTACACCCTTGTACCATCACAGATATTCAACGGGAATGTGGACAACACTACTACAGTCACCCAGCTGTTTCCAACTCCAGTCACTGCACGTTACATCCGCATTGAACCGGATGGTGTCCACGGCCAATTGGCTTTGCGTGCAGAAATCCTTGGCTACAGCAGTGAAGGTACATGCATTTCTGACTCAATGAAAAGTTATAATGAATGAATGAATGACGACCTTTATTGCACATTTTTGCCACACTGGGCTAAGTACAGGTCAAAACAAAACATAATGGAGAAATATATACAAAATAAAACTAACTATCATTACATAAATTCGACTTCTCGCTTTTCAGTTATGGTAGAGATAAATGAACAGATATGTTTATCGATGGAAGGTTTGTCCAGTCGCATCAGGAATATGAATTTTTCTACAGTGCTCAAGTGTATGAAATAAGGAAATAGGTTTTGTACAAGCCTATACAGATCACTTCTCTCTTTACTATATAATCTACATTCTATAACAAAGTGACATTCGTCCTCTATTCTATTCAGATTACAACATTTACATAACCTTTGTTCCAGAGGGGTGCGGGTATGTCTTCCAGTTTCAATTTGTAGTTTGTGACTGCTTATCCTTAATCTTGTGACTGCATTTCTGATTTTCACATTTAATATTGTTCTTGTCTGTCAGTGCTTGTGTGTTTTTGGAATCCCCAAATTACACAGTGCAGCATTACCATACATCCTCATTGCTGATATTTTAGTCTGTGGAACTGGAAGACTCATAATGCAGTATTTGTTTGTTTTTGTTTGTCTGAACATTCTTAATTCATGAAAGCTCAAATTGGCATGCAAGCCGCTTTTTGTTGAGGTCATGAGGGAATTCAGAGGTAAGGATCAGTCAAAATATATCAACAAGATCCTTCAAATTTACATCCTTCAAATTCCAACTAAAACTATTATTACACATCTTTAAACATACATGGTACAAAATACATGTACATACACAAGAGAGAGATCTAGTTCGTGTCCATTCGTTTGGGTAAATGTGTTATGTGAGTGCCTGGAGTCCACCATCTCTGAATGCCTTGTTTGTTTTGCCGGGCACCACCCCAGAGAGGGACCGTGATAGCTACATCCTCTGCACGGATGCTGACGTCAAATTCTCCGCGAAGGATGCCAACGCTCTGCTCGATGTCATCACCCGAGATCCGGCCGTTGGCGCTGTGTGTGGAAGGACTCATCCCACTGGGTCTGGACCAATGGTGTGGTACCAGATCTTCGACTACGCTATTGGCCACTGGTTTCAAAAGGTAGGATGCTAGTGATGCATTATAACTAAACTACATGTACATTCAACTCATGTTGAAATAGTGGACTTCAAGGTATCACACAAACAAGATCAGAAACAATTGAAACTATAAGGTAACATTTGCAAAGCCGATTCTTAAATGTAACCTTCAAATGGTCTAGCCTTACAGACTACTGCTCTGTTTATTGTTACTCAAACACATTCAGACAAGTTACCATGGTGATAGACATGTGGTTCTGGACATTGACCTGATTTTGTTTCGAGAAGAAGAAGAAACAGAGCAAAAAATTGTTTTCCTAATCTGCCAGGTGGTCCTTATGTAGAAGTGATCGCTTAATATACAGGTTTGATTAAACCTGATCTTTTGCGTTTTGTTTTGTAGACTGCCAACGACACCCTGGGTACAGTTCTGTGCTGCCCAGGCTGCTTCAGTGTGTACCGAGCCAAGGCCGTGCGGGAGGCTGTGAAGACCTACGCCTCGAAAGTGGACAAGGCAGACGAGTTTCTAACCAAGGACATGGGAGAGGATCGCTGGTTCTGTACCCTTTTGGTGAGGCAAAAGTTAAACCTTCTTGCAAGAACAGATTTTGAATTAAAATCATGGTTTATTCTTTGATTAGGACATCGACAATCCAGTCAAATTATTTTCTACGCTTAATTCACTTCTGAGTCAGTACCTCAGTACCCTTACTTTCGTAGACACTACTAGTAAGCCTTTGGTCCTATGAATATGTATGGAGAATCCTTAAATGTTAAACCTAAACCTTAGTGTTAACACACTAAGGTAGAGTTGACATGTACAATGCACAAGTATAGCTAAAAATGTGAGCGAATTGACACTGAACTTGCGGCTGTGTCACAGCCCCATCCACTCTCTGAGTGACCAAAAAAGCACCACACTACACATCAGTAGAAGAATTAACCTGCGTTGACTTTTTGTTCAGGTTGAGCGTGGTTGGCTGCTGAGGTACACGGCTGTGGCAGAAGACACCACCTACTGTCCCGAGGAGTTTGATGAGTTCTTCAAGCAGCGGCGCAGATGGACTCCATCTACCATCGCCAACCTGGTCAGTAGAGTTTGTTCTGTACCATTCATGTATTTGACTCAGTTCATCTGGAAAGTTCATCTGTGTTGGTAGAATTCATTATGAAAAAGGAATCTTAAAGTTAACGATAGTCCCCAACAAAAATGATCAGACTTACCCAAGTTTCAACAGCAGTTTCTGTCAGCTTATATAGTTTTTGCAACAAGGATGCCCTTTTTTTTACCCGTCACAAGCCTTGAATATCATGCACTGACAGAGTAAACAGGTTTGCTTTAAGCATCTAAGAACAGAGTACTAATTTCAGAGCCCTAAGAGGGCTGATTTTTTGTTGGCTCAGCTTGCCCTGGGACATTGGGCAAGGGTGAGCTGTTAAAAAATTCTTAAGGTTCATTTCCAAGGTTTCACTGAAATGATTTGTATTCAAATTTCAGCAAGCCATTATTATGAAATATACATGTACACTTTGTTTAGTGTACTGATACTTATCTCTATGTTTATTTTCTGTGTGTTTAGGTGCTGTTGATCCGTACGTGGGGCGAGGGACGAATGAAGAACCAGAACGTCTCCGTTTTCTTCATCTTCTACCAGGCCTGTCTGCTGTTCTCCACTCTCATTGGTCCAGCCACATGCATCCTTATCGTCTCAGGTACTGACCCTCAAACTCTTTTTTCTCTTTTGTTTAAAATGATTTTTTTAAATCATCACTAATTGTCTTGAAAAGAAAGTTGGTGTACTTGGCCCATGTCAAGCTCTGGTTGTTTCATAATTGTATAATTGAGTTCGGGATATACATTGTACATGTGTCAGATTGAAAGCTGTTTCAGATGATAGAGGGTCTGTGGGTATAGAACCTCGACCTTGAACAAGGAGATCAGATGATGCCATCTCAGGAAGCCTGGATTGTCTTCCAACACTCATCCCTGTCCTCCATCAGCGATTGTAGCTCAGCTGTGCTGCTGAGTTAGCCTCTACCAAGCTTCAAAAGTAGCTGGAAAGAGTAGAGTCTTAAAGCAGCCAAATAGGCAGATAACATACCAATGGAGTTAGTCTGATAAAAGGATTATTAAATTTTGGCCAATTTCTAAGTCTTCCTGCCACTTCTGAAGCCAGGATGAGGCCTGTGACTGCTAGGTCCTGGGATTCTCTTTTGGCCACAGCAAGTAATTTTTATGGATGACATCAGCGCGTCCATCAATTTTCGCCTGATTTTGAAAAAAAAATATTCAAGAAATTTTGATGTCCTCTGACAGAATTTTGAGAATGTAGGGACCTTGTTTTTTTTACCCCCCCTTTTTATTCACCAGCTCGCATTTGATTTAGAGTCTGCGGAGGATGTCATCCATAGAATTTACTTGCTGTGGCCTTTGGGTGTCAATGAGAGTCCTGCATCTTCTGCCCCTATCCCATAATCTTCCGTGACTAGTATTTTACTCTGCATTCTGTTTTCCAGGTGGTGTGGAGTACGTGTTTGCATACTTCACCTACACTCCACTGTTCATCCAGCTGGCTGCCTGTCTCCTGTATGCCTGGTGCTGCCTCAACACCTCACAGTCCTTCCAACTACTGGTAATGTTTCAAGACATGTATGATACATGTACCTACAGTTTCTCAGTTTCAAGCTGCCCAGGTTTTGGATTCGAATGACATCCTACATTGTAATGCGACTTACCAAACTGATAAAACTTTTCACAGACTTCATCTTGTCTCCCACAGCTTGCCAAGGGCCTGACTCTCATCTACGCCCTCGTCATGACATTGGTTGCCATAGGAACAGCCAAACAGATTGTCGTGGCCTTCATCACTAACTCCTCAGCCAGTGGTGAGTATCTTTTAACATTGCCACTGTAACAGTTGCTTTGCACTACAGTTAGCTATCAGAAAACAGGTGGTACAGTAGGTGTGTATGTTCCAAGCACAGGAACGAATATACCGACAGATTGGAAGTCTAGGCAAAAAAAAAAAAACATGTCACTTTCCTGTCCCTGGTGCTGAAATATGCAGCACATGTTGTTAGTCAACATTGTATGAATGCTTTTGTTCCTTTTCACAGCTTTCTTTCTCCACAGCAATTAGAAAGTATGCACTTGGTAGCTTTGTCAAGCAAGGGGTGGGATCCATACGGTCTTTTTGGCAATATATCATAATATAGTCTGCTGTTAGCAAGGTCACAAGTCTGAAATAGTGGTTTTATTTCCATTTATTATATAGTTATTGGAGCCATGAAGGTTGATTGTTTTCTGTCTTCTTGATCCAGATGTTAAGTTTTTTTCCTATTAGTAAGTTGTTACATGGATTTTCAACAGGGTTGCCGCAGCGCATCATAGCCTGTCCGACGGAAGCTAACAAACTACTCCAGTGTCCTGACAGCCTTGTCCTTAACATCACCAACGCAACCTACGGAAGATCTGACCCATACACGTGCTCAGATGTGTCCACAGTCTGGAGCTCTATCTACTGCCCAGAGTACTTTGCTGAGGCATACAGCCATGCCGCGACCAAGAAGGTTCTTGAGTAAGTAATGGTTGACATACAAATGTACCAGGCCCAGTTGCATCTTTTGGCAAACTTTGATCAAAATTCAAAAGCTAACTAGAAAGGTAACATGTGCAATTTAAAGCAAATGCATAATGTTTACCTTCGCATATGGTCTTCTCTCCTAATTCTTACTCAAATACATTCATATATATGGTGACAGGTCCTGGAGTCTTAATCCCTCCCGCTATAAAATTGCAACATGATGTAACCCAACACTAGTTACCATGATGACAGACGTCTGGTTCAGGTCATTGAACTTCTCTATTTGGAGAAGAAAAAGAGGAAACAGAGCAAAAACGATGTGTTTTCCTTTGGCATACATAACTAAATGCAAGTGCAAAAGAAAAAAAATCATACATTACTAAATCATTATAATATATAAAAATCATTTGTTACATTTAATAAAAACAGTGAACAAGGTGTCTAGCCTGTTGAGTCATGCAACTATATATATCATTGTTTTGGGGCTTGACTTCTTCTCTAATGCTAATCATTTCACATTGCATGCGTCTCCAACTTGACTGACCATGGGTAACAATCTTTTGTATGCTTTCTTTCTTTCAGGGACAAAAATCTTTTCAACTGTAAAGCAAAGGAAAGCTGCAACCTCATTGCCTCCTCTGAATACTTTCCCGCAAATATAACCATGGAAGCGTGGTGGAAGAAAAAGCTGAAGAGCCTTCGGACCAGTCCTACCAACCAGTCGGATCCCTCCCAACCATCCCGATGGAAAAGAAATGCCCCAGAGTTGAGGGCAGGCAGTACTCCACTTCCTATGACTACACAACTTCAACCCACAGCTACACCCACAGCTACACTCGCAGCTACAGCTACACTCGCAGCTACACCCACAGCTACACTCGCAGCAACACCCACAGCTACACTCGCAGCTACACCCACAGCTACACTTGCAGCTACACCCACAGCTACACTTGCAGCTACATCCACAGCTACACTCGCAGCTACACCCACAGCTACACTCGCAGCTACAGCTACACTCGCAGCTACACCCACAGCTACACTCGCAGCTACACCCACAGCTACACTCGCAGCTACACCCACAGCTACACTTGCAGCTACACCCACAGCTACACCCACAACTCCGGATCCACCCACAACTCCACTCAAACCTACCGACCCCCCTCCTCCAGACTGCTCCTCGGTTTACCTGGAGGTCTTCTATCGATGCAGACGACGTAAGTCATTACGTGTTATCTGAACTTCTGTACTGTCTTGCTTTTGGCGGAATTATTAGCACAATGTCATGTAATTACACTGTACTATGCCAGATTATATCGTGTGCATATACCGGGGAAGCACTAACAGACATGTGCTAAGAGTAGATGTAGAACAGTCACTGAGTCTTCAAGGAAGGCATTAGGCATGGTATTACCTTAAAGTTACTTGTTACTATGAGTCTGTAGGAATGCATCACAACTTTCTCACAATACTTCTTCCCTAAGCCAAGAATAATTTACCTGCAATGCAAATCTAATTATATTCTTAATTTGATATTGTTACATTGTGGCAATCTTCCCGAGCATTGAACAAAAAGGTAAATGAAAACAGACCACCCTGGTTGTAAAGGAGGAAAAATTTTGAATTACATGTACACAATCATGTACTTGATTCCTGTTTTTCACTACAGCCAGCGGCTTCGACTTTACCGTGGACATTCCAGCCAACATCACAGTACTCTACTTCCTCTGTCTCATTGGAATCTTCATAGTGACAGCATTGGTCCATCCTTCTGAGTTCTACTGTGTGCTCCACGGCATTTGGTAACTCAACTACATCTGGTTATACAAATTGTGTTGAATGTCTTACCAGAGATTATTAGAGAATGATGAAAACTAAAATACAGCCTGTACACTTTTTCTTTATTTTGAATACTAGTTCAAGAGAAATGTCTTGAATGGTATCTGTTTTTCATTTTTCATCTCTTCATGCAAATTTCAGAATTTTGCATTGTAGACAGGTTCTGTTAGCACAATCTTTTACCAGCATTTATCTTAGGGTCCAGATGATGTTACCCATGTTGGTCTTGTGGTTAGGATTTACTGGCTTTGAATCTCAAATTTGAGATTAACTCTGTTAAAACTACACACTCAGGGAGTCTTCAAAGAAAGGATTATTCCGATGTAATTTAAAGCATGTTTCAGGAGAGACACACCTTGAGCATGTGTACATAAGAAAACTTTCAATGTTGAACTGATTGACTAACCTGATGAAAATAATTCATACACAATAATTATGTATGATACTTTTGCAGGTACCTGTTTTGTCTTCCTGGAGGTTACCTGATTCTGATGATCTACAGCATTTGTAACATGACTGACAGATCATGGGGTGAGCAGGAGTCCTTCTTTTTTAATTCCTTTTTAAATTTAAGGCAAGGCCCAGAGTTGTGCATCCAAACTTCATCTTTTATAAAGGGCAGGGTTAGTGCTGGTGCTGTCATTGGGGTTGGTCATCAGCACTTAGTGTTTTACAAGTACATGGTACATTATGTATCAGGATGCTTGAATTTTTCAGTAAGAAAGCATATCCTTAGAAGGGAAAATTTGCAAAGAAAGCGGGGTGAAATCAAATTGAAGTAGGCCCCAGAAGTTTGCTACATTATTATGTAACATGCTGTATCAAACGCCTTTTTCTACCTTGTTACAAATTTTTGTTTTAGGAACACGTGAACAAAAAACCTTCAAGACAGGAGGAGGAGGAGGGGGAAGCTGGTTTGACAACTTGATGGAGAAACTTCGCCATCTTTGTACCAGGTAGGATAGAGTCTATTATGATAATTACGTATAAAAATATCATCTCACCATTGTTAAGCACTTGGCTGGATTAATTAGCTCCCTGCTATAGAAGCCCAGCTATAGATTCTGAAATAGAATTGAGTACTGCCGTTCTGGGAAGTATTTATCTTCTCAAAACATTTTAAAACAAATTGATGAGATTTGAATGCCAGGTTGGCATATAAGAGCTGTCATGCCAGGTTTGGACTGTAATTTGTGCCATTTTGACTACCCAGCTGCTGTCCCTGGTGCCGACCTGGAGGTGGCTACCAACGCCTCCCGACTTCCGAGCGCGTGAGCGTCGCTAGCACGGCCGCCTCACAATCAGACGTGGAGGACGACACTGCTGATGAGGGGGAGGGAGAGACTGACAGTAAGGAGGAGGAAGGCGCGAAGCCAGCAGCCGATGCTGATGAGATACAGGTGGAGGAACAGTCAACCGAGAAGCGACAGAAATCTGTCGGGTTCACCACACCTGATGATCATGATGATGATGAGGAGGAGGGTAGGAGATATTTTCATGCTTCTTAATATAATAATATTGATTATTAGCAAATCCTTTTGCTAAAATGCAATAAGACACAAAGTATACAACATAGTTACATACAGTACTCAGTACAGTATCCTCAACATCTGGACCCTGTTTCTTATAGATCAACCAAGGTCTTTGAAGAGGAAGAAGACTCCGTGGATTTCAGGAAGGGGTCCGGCTGCCCGCCGCATCGGCAGTCGGCGTCAAACGAGAACCAGGAGGTATTCGCAGTACTACAGCAAGGCAGACGTCGTCGTACCTGTACGTGGCTGGTTGGAGAGGTACTTCCCGCGCTGGAAGGCTGAGCTTAAGGTAGGAAGGTCTGATATATCTCTTCTGAGAGAAATGAGAGAACTTTTCTATGAAATAAGCTTTTTCACTCATACTTCTCAACTACGAACTTGGCCAAATTTGTAATAGGATGGGATACATGATACAGCAAACTCTTGAGTTTTTATCATGTATGGGCATTAAAGTGCTGCAAGTTGCAACAAAATTCAGTTGAATGGCTTACTAGTAATTAAGTACTTGCTGTGTACTAGTATAGTATTACATGCTTTTTTTGACTTTAAAAAAATTGGCCCCAAACCGCATTGTAGGATTCATCATCACAATACCTTATGTACTTACTACAAAATCTTCTTCGCAAATATTAATTAATGCCAACATCTTGACTTCCTTAGGACAAGTTGGAAGAGTTCTTCACAATTCATGGCTATGATGACACCAGCTTTATTTCTGGCATGAAGGACCAGGTAAGAACACTTAAAACCGTCTTTGGCTGCATCATTGAGCATTGTTAGCATTATAACAAACAAAAAATGATATCAGGTTTTAGACTGTGATCTAATTTTTTAAATGTTAACGCTCAAACTGTTTCATACTGAAAATAATCCAAATTACACTTTTTTCTAGCTTCTGTGAACAGTTTCAACATTGCAAAAATAGCACATAATCATGAGTGACATAGCCTTTACTTCCCACATTCCCTGACAAGGCATTTGTTTACAATATTTATTAATAAGCACTTATAACTGATTTCAGGACCTGATTGACATCGGCATGGAAGGAGATGAGTACAGTTTCCACCGCGTGAAGCTCATGGGTGAAATCAAGAAACTCCCAGAGTACATTGCAGATTACAAAGTGCCGGTAAGTTCAACATCATTATTTTTTTTTATTAGCTTGAGTGAGTGAGTGAGTGAGTGAGTGAGTGAGTGAGTGAGTGAGTGAGTGAGTGAGTGAGTGAGTGAGTGAGTGAGTGAGTGAGTGAGTGAGTGAGTGAGTGAGTGAGTGAGTGAGTGAGTGAGTGAGTGAGAGATTATTTTATGAAGAAGATGATTGAATTTTCCTCTTGCTCAGGAAAACACTCGTGAATGGCTAAAGTCCATTGGTCTGCCTCACTACGCAACAAACTTTGAAGACAAGGACGTGGTGACCAAGTGGGACCTGGCTATCATCAAGTCCATGAAAGTAACTGAACTCAACGAGAGGTACGGCATCACCAAGAAAGGTGAGTTGTGGGTTGAGTTTTTCCTTCATTTTATGGTTGATTGATGTGTAATACTATTTAGCCTGACTAATTAAATCATGATAATTGATCAGCTGGTGAAGAAGCTTGATGACTGTAGAGAATTTTGTTGACACAGCAAAAGTGCAGCAACTTTCGTAAGGTCTGTAACTAAACACACAGACACGTGGGTACAAAAGATCAGAAAACACATATGGTGACACTAAAAAAAAGGATCTTGAGCTTCCCTTGAGAGTTTGTGTTACACACTCAGACTAATTGATTTGTGTGGTGGTGATCATGTATACTACAATGTACATTAATTTCATGCTGTCATTTTCAGCCCATGTCAAGCGCGTCATGAATTCTCTGAAGAACATGAGAAACCCGAATGAACGTAAGTTTTATCCAAAAAATTTTATTGTTATTCCTGCTCAATGGAGCAGAGAAGTTCTACAGCATAGAAGTTTGACAGCCTTCTTTTCATTTTGGTACATTTCAACTAACTTGGCTTAGGCTACAGAGGATGAAGTAGAGTACAAGTCACTTTATTTTTAGTGAAATAAGTGCTAACTTCATTTGAAATAAACATAGTAACTGTTACTATTCATGTGTGTCGCTAAATGGTTATGACTAATAGTGCTATAACTACAGATAGAGCATGAAATTAAAATCCTGATGTGATAACATGATGTCCATTGTTCCAGGTGAGGCTGACATTGAGAGGGTGAGGTTCATCGTGGACCAGCTGGAGCCCAAAGCCATGTTGGACGCGACGTCGTCCCGGCTGAGAGAAGCTCTGTTCTGGGAGGCGCTCAGGGCGCAGTGTCTGGATCCAGAACTCACCACTTTCAACGAGGTGGACGAACTCAAGGTAAGATGGGAAGAGTGTACCTTATCTTTAAAACATTATAAGATCTTCGAGGATGAACTGTAATTTTCAAGACAAAAAGTTGGACTCACTCAATTTTTTGGACTGACCAGCTCCAGTTTTTGAGCAATCCGCCACTTCTGTGACGTCAAGCAAAGTGGTCGATCAATCATGATTCCTTCACAAAAACTGGAATTGGTCAATCAAAAATTTGTGTAAGTCCAATTATTTTTGTGTTGAAAATAACCTTGATCCAGTGTAGAGTGTATTGTCCAATGAAAACAACCCGGTGATCTGACTTACCGGTAAAAGTTTTTAAAGAGTACAAAAGCACCGATCATTGTCACTTGTCATTTTTCATCTTGAATGAAATGTTTGGTGGCAAACAGTCAATTCATTGATTTCACAAAATCAGGTAGAGTGCCATGTGACCAAGTCTCTAAAGGCCGGGGCAAGACTCTGAGACCATAATAATTATGATTGATTCTATATCTACCCAGCAAGCACTCGTGGATCTGCGGAACGGTTGGCTGATGGTCTTTGCCGTTGCCAATGCCATCTGGCTCACCCTCATCCTGGTCCTCACACAACAATCCGAACTGGCTGTCCTGGGTTCTAATCCCATCGGCCTGGCAACGGCGCTGTGCTTTGGTGTCATCCAGGCCGTCCAGTTCCTGGCCATGTTGTTCCACCGCGGCCTCACCCTGATGCACCACACTGCTCGGATACCCTACCCGACACGGGTCAGTAATCTACTTGTCGCTCTCTCTCTGTCTCTCTCTCTGTCTCTCTGTCTCTCTCTGTCTCTCTCTCCCTCTCTGTCTCTGTCTCTCTCTCTGTCTCTGTCTCTCTGTCTCTCTCTCCCTCTCTGTCTCTGTCTCTCTCTCTGTCTCTGTCTCTCTGTCTCTCTCTCTCTCTTACATGTATGTACTGTTTAATGTTTATGTACAGCATAAATGGGTCAGAAAGTGCTCTTCAAATAATAACAGTTACAGTAACTGTGATGACCTCACGGGTTGTAGTGTTTTTTGGGAACATTTTACACGTATAACCTTTGCAATTTTTACATTCATTTGATGGTTTAGTGTAAAAAAAAGCTACAAGGTCAGGCTTGCTGGTCTTTCTTATGCCTGCCAACATCTACTCACAAAAAGATTGTGACATTCTAATTTATCATGTTTGATATACTATAAGTTTTAAAAGAAAACAGAAAAAGGAAACTTGTAGTGTAATGAATCATCCTTGTTGTGATGATGAGTTGTTGTTTTTTTCTGAAAAGCGTCCAACCTTCAAGGACAAGACAAGGAAGGGCGGTGAGAGGCTGAGCGTCCAGGCCATACCCACCAGGGGAGATGTGACGTACAACAATTCAGTAACTCATCGACAAAAGTGAGTATCACTGGTACCACTAGTACCATCATAATATTATGAAAAATGAAAATATATCAAGTGGGCATCATGTTTTTCCTATTAATCATATTTTTAAAATCCTACAACTGACAAATTGAATTGGTGCAGTGTACTAAGGACACCCAACAAACTGTACATGTGCTGCCTGGACCAAATCTACAGGCAAATCTTTTGGTGGCTGCAAAGACAGTATCAGATCTATCCTTTTGCCAACTAAAGGGCATAGAAAAGGGTAGATCTATCAGACTGAGTACAAAAAGAAAGCCAGATAGAAATGGCTAAAAACACATCAAAAATAAGCTGAAGCCTAAAGTTCTGCTTATTTATAGAGAGTAGTCTGGACCACCTGAGTGTGTTGTATGAGTTAACACTTTTAGTGAAAAATATTCCTAACGTTTCTTTTTTGTTTCACCCAGCGGTGTGGCGTACTTTAACCGTGCCTTCTCATACGATGAGGATGAAAGAGAAACAGTTCCAAAGGTGTGATGGGAAGGTTCTAACATTCAGGAAGGACAAAAAGATAGGCTCACTCCAACAAATGAAGTACTTAGTCTAGTATTAGTGGAACTCTTAAGTATACTTATCAAAAGAGCAGGGGTCCTTCCCAGTGTAAGTGGTTCAAACCTTACAGTCTTGTCTTGGATGAAGAGTCTTGAAAAGGTGATAGTCACCTGTTGTGTAAATCCTTCCACAAATGTGGTAAATCGAAATAAATTAGGCATAAATTTGGATACTCTGTGGATTATCTACTTGACAAATGA